TTATTGTCTTCAACTGTTTGTCTAATGGTTAAATCAATCTTAAAAAGATATTAAAATTAGGGTTTCTCTCTCCCCCTGGGTTCAGTCTCTCTTAAATGATAAAAAAAAATAATCTCTATAATTATCACTTAAAAGAATAGTAATAATAATAATTTAAAGGCTATAAAAGATAATAACGTTTGTATTGCCCAGCAACATTTGAGCCCCAATTTTGACAAATTCCTAAATAATAAAAAAAAAATTAAATTAAAGACATATACAAACTGTGATATTTCAAGAAACAAATGTCACATGGGTTAAAGAAATACTGACATGAATTTTCAGTGTCTTAGTAATGCAACTGCCCAGAAAAGATGTTAAAAAAAATAAACGCAATAATAGAAACAATAGCATTTGTACAACCAAAAAAAATCAAATATTTTCTTAACATTGAATGCAATTGGCCAAAAACTCTTTTCTCCACTTGTAAACTCGTCAAATAATCTTGTTAATCATTAAAAAAAAAACTTAAAAAACACAATAAAAAAATTTCAAGAATCCAAATTTATTACTTAAGGAGATTTTTTCTATTCAAGCATATTATGAAAATTTTACCATATTTAATTTGGAAATTTATTATAATAGACTAATTCAATTGCTCTTATTAAATTGAGATAAGATTTTTTTTTATTTTAAATCATAAAAAAAAGAAAAAAAATGGTAAACCACAAGTTTTATTTATTTAAAATTATGAGCATATTGATTTCCACGTCATATGATTTTATAGCTGAAAGATTTAATTTTTAAGAAAGTGAATTATGGAATATATTTTTCCTACTTAAATTAAGACGAATCTTTATAAATTGAAAGACTTAAATAAATGTAATAAGTTGTTCTCTTTTGATTACTCTTAAATATTATTCTTTAGTAATATTATATATATATTATGATTATATCAAAATTCAAAAACCAATATATATATATATATATTTATGATTATATCAAAATTCAAAAACCAACAGTTGCACTAGACCTTCGGCCTTTGCATTGAGAGTCGACACAGGTGTGCAAACCCAGTAAGTCTCTGTTTTCTGGCCCGAAATGCTCTTTTATTCCATTACAAGCAGAGTGGCGGTCGTACTATGGGCGTTTAATAAGGTGTAATAATAGTTTAGATTCAATCGAATTAATTTTTTAAATTATGTTTATTATTATAAAATTTTAAATTATTTTTTTAAATTGATTTGATTTAAATTAAAATTTATCGATTTAATTTGATTTTTTATTTTTAAATTTAATTTTTTTTTTCTATTTTTATATATTATTTAATAAAAATTTTAATATATTTGTATATAAAATAATTATTTATTTATAAAAATTTAAAAAATATAAAAATATATAATTTGATTTGATTTATTATTTATTTTTTTTACACCTCGATTTAAAATTTAATCTTAATTTAATTTATACATTAATATTTAAATTTAATTTGAATTATATAAAAAATTAATTTAAATTGAATTAAATAATATAATTTTAAATTAATTTATAATTTTTAAAATTTTTTTCTTACCCTTTATCATGTTAGCATATGAGAAAAATAAATTGAGTAATTCCCTTTTTTTTCTTCTTACTTTGAAAATATCTGTAGATACTACGAATAATCGAATTCATTTTTTAAAAGTATCATTAAAAAATATTTATTTCTTGTAATTTATATTTATATCAACAAAATATTATAGTAATCAAGAATTCAACGCAACCTTCCTCAAACAAAGAAAGAGGAGGCGGGTCCCATTAAATCCTTACACTTTCATGCTTATAACTGAGTTCACTGGCAGGTGCCTGTCTTTTTGGGCAGAAGAGAATAAGTTGATCCTAAGAAGTGCTCTTAGTGATTTTTACTATGAAGAAAATGAAATGAGCATGTTTTGTCCGTCTCATATTCTGGTTTACTATAAGCCATCCAAACGGAGTGGTGAAATCCTATGTGAATACATAGGATTGCTACGTCCCATACGTCAAGCCTTCCCTGTTAAATGGTGCTCCAGCCATGACTCACGTGAACTGTGAACGGTTTCAGGAGTTCGGCAGTGCTAGGAAGTACCGTTCGGTTCGTGCATGCTAGCCAAAATTTATGGACGGTCTATTATTGTCTATGTGCATGCTGCTGCGTTGAATTATAATGGAAGATAAACATACTGCTAGAAGAAGAAAAATGAGATGACTAGATAATGAAGGATTAATTTTCTCATGGGGCCTGTAAAATTTTTCTTTCACAATTTAGGCTGGTTTCAATTGTTTCAATTGCATAAGCAGAACAATAAGCACTAGGTGGTGAGAAAAAAGGGTTTAGAAATTTACGCATTTTAGAATTAAGTTCTGACACCCACGGTTTTGTCGTGATTCTCATGCCTGATATTTATAATTTACTGTATATAATTTTCATTCATTTCAGTTTTGGATGGGCTTTTAACTTTATTTGTATCTTTTTTGTGTGTGTTTAGCTAATTTTTTTCCAGTATTAGGAGTTTTTATTCACAACCCTAGCTAGTCTCTTAGCTTAATCATCTGCACAGTCATTATGCCCAAGTCTCCTTTGATATTTTAAATTCTTGCATAAAGTTCGGTTCAGTTTATTTTGGGTTGGCTTTCAATCTCTCGTGGCATGTTGAACTTTGCTTTGCTTGACATAAGAAAGTTTTGAATATCTTACTCATGTTTTAAACCTATGATTATACTTTTTATTTAAGGGTCAGCTGGAACGTTACCAGTACTCGTCATGAGTCTTATTTTTATTGCTTTGCTTTCTTTTTGCTCATCGTTTTCTTAATATCATAAGAGCCTACAACGGTTGGATTTTATTCTTTAACTATCGAAAAAGAAATAATATAAAAACTTCATTAATATGTTTCAAGAGGTTTTTGACATGTTGCATGTGATATAACTGAAACAAATCAGGTAATAATGTGCGAAGTCAAGATAGAGGAGTACGGGTCTTTCATTAAACGTGAATGACGGCGAACACTACTTGGTAAGGTTTTGAAAAATTAAATTTTTGGTACTTATCTCTTTGCTTTATTATAGCAATGTCATCTTGTCATCTTGAATAACTCAATGCTTTTTTTCAAGAAAGTCTTGAATATCTTGATCATGTCTTAAACTTATGATTATACTTTTTATTTAAGGGTCAGCTTGGAGCATTACCAGTACTCATCATGAGTCTTATTTTCATTGCTTTGCTCTCTTGTTGGTCATCGTTCTCTTAATATCATAAGAGCTACAACGGTTGGATTCTATTCTCTAACTATCGAAAAAGAAATAATATAAAAACTTCATTAATATGTTTCAAGTAGTGTTCGTCGTATTCTGTCCATCAATTCACATTTAATGAAAGATTCGTACTCCTCTGTCTGACCTCGCACATTATTATTACCTGATTTGTTCAGCTACATCACATGCAACGTGTTAAAAATCTCTTGGAACATATTAATGAAGTTTTTATATTATTTCTTTTTTGATAGTTAGAGAATAGAATCTAATCGTTGTAGCTTTTATGATATTAAGAGAATGATGACCAACAAAGAGAGCAAAGCAATGAAAATAAGACTCATGACGAGTTACTGGTAATGCTCCAAGCTGACCCTTAAATAAAAAGTATAATCATAGGTTTAAGACATGATCAAGATATTCAAGACTTTCTTGAAAAAAAGCATTGAGTTATTCAAGATGACATTGCTATAATAAAGCAAAGAGATAAGTGCAAAAAAATTTAATTTTTCAAAGCCTTACCAAGAGGTTTATGACACGTTGCATATGATATAATTGAACAAATCAAGTAATAATAATGTGCGAAGTCAAGACAAAGGAGTACGAGTCTTTCATTAAACGTGAATTGATGGACAGAATAATTCAATGCTTTTTTCAAGAAAGTCTTGAATATCTTGTCATGTCTTAAACCTATGATTATATTTTTTATTTAAGGGTCAGCTTTAGAGCGTTATCAGTACTCGTCATGAGTTTTATTTTCATTGTTTTGCTCTCTTTGTTGGTCATCGTTCTCTTAATATCATAAGAACTACAACGATTGGATTCTATTCTCTAACTATCGAAAAAGAAATAATATAAAACTTTATTAATATTTTTCAAGAGGTTTCTGACATGTTGCATGTGATATAGTTGAACAAATCAGGTAATAATGTGCGAGGTCAAGACAGAGGAGTACGGGTCTTTCATTAAATGTGAATTGATGGACAGAATACGGCGAACACTACTTGGTAAGGTTTTGAAAAATTAAATTTTTTAGCACTTATCTCTTTGTTTATTATAGCAATGTCATCTTGTTATCTTGAATAACTCATTTTTCAAGAAAGTCTCGAATATTTTACTCATGTCTTAAACCTATGATTATACGTTTTATTTAAGGATCAGCTTGGATTGTTACCAGTACTCGTCATGAGTCTTATTTTTATTGCTTTGCTCTCTTTGTTGGTCATCGTTCTCTTAATATCATAAGAGCTACATCGATTGGATTATATTCTCTAACTATCGAAAAAAAAATAATATAAAAATTTCATTAATATGTTCCAAGAGGTTTCTGACATGTTACATGTGATATAGTTGAACAAATCAAGTAATAATGTGCGAGGTCAAGACAGAGGAGTACGGGTCTTTCATTAAATGTGAATTGATGGACAGAATACGGCGAACACTACTACAGCGAACACTACTTGGTAAGGTTTTGAAAAATTAAATTTTTGGTACTTATCTCTTTTCTTTATTATAGCAATGTCATCTTGTCATCTTGAATAATTTAATGCTTTTTTCAATGTAGTTATTAGAAAAAAAGTTATAGAAAGAAAATAATTCTCGTTACAACAGATAGTAGATCTATCAGATTTTTGCGAAGCAGCTTTGCTTGAATTTTATCAAGCAATGTGTCTTTTTAAAAATATTCTCGCATGTCTGGGTCAATTATGTTTTTCAATTTAATCGAAGAAAAGCAGAACAATCAGATTTAGGTGGTGTGTAAAAGGGTTTTGAAGTTTAGGCATCTTGGAGTCTTCTGTCCTCTCGCTTACAACTTTGTCATGATCCTTCTTCTACTTGATATTTCTAATTTACTGTATGTAGTTTTTATTCAAATCAGTTTTGGATGAGCTATAAGTTTCCCTTGCATCTTTTCTGTATATGCTGAGCTAAGTTTTTCTAGTAGAATATGTTAACAGTTTTATGTTACTATAATGATGCTCGTTATTTAAGGGTCGCTCCGGGACCTACCTTCAAAAATTGCTATGATGATGCTTACTATTTCAAGGTCAGTTGGGAACCTATCTTCAAAAAGAAAGGTCGGCTATCTTCTCAAGCTTCCAAGTTTGCTCTTTGTATTGCTAAGCATGCCCATTTCTTTCTTAAATCAAATTTCACAATATTTGACTTTATTACCAAAAAGAGTAAGGAAAGATTCCGTCTCTTCTTTCTTCTTTACAAAAGTCATTTAGCTTATTGATGATAAAATAAAGTAGCATTGTTTTTTTTTTTTGTTTTTTTGTTTTTGTTAATGTTTCTGCGCCTTTCTTGTCCGTTGAAAGGCAGAACAAGAAAAGTGGGATGATTATACAGTAAAGGTTTCATCCGTAAGGCGAGATTATAAATTTTCTACCTAATAACTTAGGTGGTTTATTTTCATATATAATATGCAAAAGCAAAACAATTAGTCTTAGGTGGTGGATGAAAATTAGTTTAGGATTTATAATTTCCGTGTTGCTACCAAGATGGATCAATGCATACATGAAGAAACAAGGAATCGGGTGAAAGTTGGTTTATGCATTTCTTAGTGTACTCCTAATTAACAGACTTAGTTCACTGACTAATCATATGCCAAGTCATTATGGCCACAACCTCCTCCTATATTGGTTATTTCAAATTTCTCGCATGTATTTTTGATTTTATATATTTTGGGTTAGCTTTCAAGTTTTCCTTACTTTACTTTGCTTTCCTATAGGGTCACTTGGGGAAGCTACCTTTAATTATCATAAATCCTATTTCATCCATATGCTCTTCTTGTTGTTCACCGTTTTCTTAGAGTAAGTGGAGTTTAAATGGTGGTTTCCATTCTCTTATTGTAGAAATGGAAATAATATAAAATCTTCATTGATATTTTCTAAAGAGGTTTATGACAAGTTGCATGTGATGGCTGATGGAAGTCAGAAGAAGTACGGGTCTTTGCATCAAACGTGGATGGATGGAAGATATCAAACAAGGCAAGGTTTTGGAAAAGTAATTATCTTTTACAGAAGATACTATTTACTTCATTTTGCTTTATTAAGCAATGACAAAATATTTTTTTTTTATAATGAAGCAGTGTCTAAATTTTATTTATATATGTGTGATTGAAATATATTCTTGCATGCTCTCTGCCTCTTAGCTTCCTACGCCGCCCTTCCCTCAATCATCTAGAGTCTGCAAATTTTCTGTGTCTTCTACCAGTGCTCAAGGAATCATCCTTAAACCTCCTCCTTGTTACTTTGGCTCTCCATCCCATTGGACCTTTCTGTATTGCACCCTTCAGTGAGGAAGAGTTAAGTGTTAAGTTCTACCATGTAAACTTAAATATCTTGAATCATGAAATAAAGCTGATATTTGTTAAAGTAGAAGGCATTATTTTTCAATTTTTGTTAGATTTGATCATGTTTCAATCTCTCAGTTATCTTACTAATTTTGATTTGGGTTTTTTGATTGCAGGTATTGATATTAAGAGCACATATTTCATTGAAGTGTAAGCTTATGTTATCTTGTAATATAGACTTTTTTATTTTTATCTTCTCTAAAGAGTTAATTTGAATTAGTTTTGTTTGAAAAGTGCCGTGATGTGAGAATTGTTTTTTATTATATTAAGTAGATGTTATATCAATTATTTATTATACACCAAATGGAAACTTAATTTAAAAGGTGAAATAATCTGAGTAAAAAAAAAAAAAATTAAATGTGGTTTTTTTGTTTGTGTTAAAAGATTGTTTGTGTACATTGTTGGATTTGATGTTTGTTTATTATTATTTTTCGTTAGAATATATGGGATGCAAACGCAAACTGAACTTTGATTAAGCAAACTCATTTAAAAGATTGAAGTACTAAGTGGAGTTCAAACTCTTAAACGCTTATCATGTTACCAAATGGAGTTTTTTTATATAAAATAAAATCTTTATTCTTCGATAAAGGAACTTATAATTTTATATCTCTAAATAGGATATTTTATGCTGCATTGTCATTCATATTTTTTATATCTTATCACTCTCGTTGTTTCATATCTCTATAAGAAAAAAAATGCAAAGTAACTTTGGAAATCTGTCTTTTCAAGCGGTGTTAATTAACTGCTTTGATAACAAATCCATATTTTTACAAGTACTTTATAGTTTACTGGTAAAAATGTAAGAAACGACCAACATGAAAATCTGTCACTGCCGCAGCCTTTGATTTGGATCAAACCCTTAAATAATCTGGATCTAGCTATAAACCTGCTCATCGGCGGACCTCATAGCGGCCGTTTTTCTCGACCCTACAAATTCTCCAAAGTAAAACACCGCTAATTCTCCTCCATTATTGTCCTGTCTATTTCCTTGGCTTCATCAGCTCTCTTATTCTTCCTGCCTTCATTCTTATCAGATTGCTGCATAATGGCGCCATCTTTATTTTTTATCTCTTCATTTTATTGATATGACGTTGGAAATAAATATTTATAAATAATGTCAAAGTAAATGAAACGGTAAAGCAATACGGTTAGGAACAAAATGGTGGGTTTCTTATAAGTGAAAGAGATCAACCAAGAGAGAAAAAGTTGGAGAGTGTTTTGAGAATTTTTTTCTAAAAAATTTAAATAAATATAATATAGTTGTAGGCTTGCAGCGGGAGACAAGTGAGGGAAGATGAGGCAGATGTGAAACAAAATGTTTACGTAATATATAATTTTAGTGAAAGTACTTATATTTTGGAATAAAATTTAGAAGTGTTTTAGTAAAGGAAGTAAAATTAGAAACGTTAGGAATAAAACTCTTTAAAAATAACTTTGCATGTGCTTTAAAAACCGTAAATAATTCTTTGACCTCTTAATAAGTGGCAGGATTTGATAAGATCAATAAAGACATAATAATGACTTCAAAATTGAAAATATAAAGAGAAAAAGAATTGAAAAAAAAAAAGATGAAATCATTCCAATGAAATCTTTAATACAATATGAAAGGATTAGACTGAAAGCTCCTCTCGTGTTTTATTATCCGAATAAACTAATATTTTGTTTAATTTATTTTATCTGTTTTTAAAAGAAGATTTTATCAAAGTAGCCGTTATTGCCATTTTGCATGAAGTCATTTATTGTTTTCACATTTTAATTGCAAGCTTTATTTAGAATTGTAACCTTTTATTGTTCTCATTTAAATATGTATTACTTTTCGTCTAATAATATTTTTTGTTTTAGGATTTTCAATGGCTGGTTCTGGCGTTGATCAAAATTTTGTGGAGTATTTACTATCTGTAGGACTTAATCCAGATAATTATAGCATAAATAAATATGACAGTGCAGAAGTAATGGTCATTTATAGTACTTTGATTACGCAAGCTCATCCGATCTTCCCAAATGTTCTTCCGCCGTTCCAATACAATAATGATCACTATTTACTCGTTGAAAAGTTAGGGACATCATTAACAAAAATGAGGAAACAAATTGCCCTTTTTGATCGTCCAAAGGTTAAAAACAAGCATATTTTCTTTCGGGCATCAGATACGTATGCTAAAATTATAAGGTTAGTCATAATATTTATTTTTTAAAATAAATTATTTTTGGTTAAAAAATTACCTTTTTTTAGAATTTAATTACTTATTGTATAATGTCAATAAAAATTTTGTTTCAAAATATAAGTACATTTATTATTTTATATTTTGAATTTATATTATATTTTGAATTATGTTTATAACTAATTTGTATTTTGGAATATTGATATAAATACTTATATCATATATGAAGTTTAGATTGTTATAAAAAGGACTATAATAAATGAATAAATAAATGTGTTCTTAATTTATTATAATGATTTTTGTTCATTTTGTATAGGGATATCTTTAAATCGATTGGAGCTCTCCTAAATACATCAATTCGAGGTGTATTGAACTCTGGCAATATTTATATAATGCCTGGAAGTCGTATTGAGGCACAATTTACGAAATTTATTATTCGAGGTATTATACTTTTAAATATATATAATTAATTATATTATTTAATCGAAAGAATTTCTTACATTTTTTTTTGTGATAACAGGCAATAATAGCTATTTTGAAGATTGCTTAGATTTTAAAAATATGCTAGCAGATTTTAATGGAAAGTGTGGAATTCGTGATGTTGCAAAATTTGAATTTGATGATTTCTTTAGTTTGTTGATGAATCCTACTCCATCAATACAGTAAGTAATCAATTTTTTTTTTTTAAGAATCTTTTTTTAGTTATTAAATATAAATCATTGTAATTTTTTTTTTTCAGGCGTCATAGTATGGATGTGTTGGAGCATCCCATATTTTGGCCAGAGCAACTTAGAATTGCTTTTATTAAAGCTTTGGATGATTTTCTGGTGGCCAATCAAGCTATCAACACTAATATCCAAGCTTTTGATGGAGGAATAAGCATGTTGAGTGGGAATCTTGCTGTGAATGAATTGTTAAAAATTCATCAGCGGTACATTGTAAATAACCAAATTCGAAGCTTGTACTTACAATATTTACCTAACAGATTTCAGAATGTACCTAATTCAGATATGACGAGATTATGCATCGAAACTTTGAAAAATCTATATACACATTTCTTAACTATGAAACAACCTTATATACAGGTAAATTACTCGTACGTAGTGTTTTTATCTTGCATAATAATTGAATTTATCTTATGCATTATTTTGTGATCTTACTCAATTTTTTATGTGCAGCTCCAAAATGATGAAGATCTTCAGCATGCTGTTCAAGAGGTTTTTCCGATGCATCTTTGCATATTAGTTCCGTTTGCACGACAGATAAACTTTCCATATCAAATTGGAGAAATTTTAAATTATTTGTATTCTTAAATGTAGTTTTAGCAAGAAGATTACTAATATTTTAATGAAATATTGAAATATTAAACAATAATCATTATCTTCATCCTCCTGAAATTAAAAACATTATAATCAAGAAAGAGCGTTAAATGAAATATCTCTTTATATCAAATTAAAAGATAAATCAAAGACTGAATCCACTTATTCATTTGATTGAATAATAAATATTACATGTACATGACCTTTTACAAATGTTTTCATTCCAAGATATTGTTAGATCTTTCTTTAAACATTGAAGTAAGAAGAGGAAAGAAAATACTATTCAATCCAAGAAGTGATAAAAAAGCTAAGTTTACAGTAATATTGTGTAAGGAGCCTTGTTGGATCCATTTAAGTTAATAAGGTCATCCTTTCGGACGAAGGACGTGAATCTTAATTTTAGTTGGTTCTACCAATTCAATCATGAATTGATAATCAACTCGGGTTAAATACACATTTTGGTCCTAAACTTTAGATTTTTTTGTTCACATTGATATTTAAAAAATTTTTCTATCACATTAATACATAAACGTTTAAATCTGTTATCACATTAATATCTTAAATTAACGTTGTTAGTCAATTTTATTGACGCAATATTAACATATAATAAGATGCTGATATATGTATAAAAAGTCTAATTAGTGTCACATCACCAATGCCACGTTATCACTAAAACAAAAATTTAGAAAAAATTCTTAAAATTTTTTAAAAATAAAAAAAATTTAAAAATTTAAAAAGTTTAAAAAAATTTTAAAGAAATTTTAAGAAATTCTAAAAATTCTAAAATAATTTTAAAATTCAAAAAAAAAAAATTCTAAAAGTTTTTCCTACTTCCAACAAATTTTTAAAAATTCTAAAAATTGTAAAATAACTTCAAAATTTTTTTGGAAAATTCAAAAAAATTAAAAATTTTTGAAAAATTCTATAAAATTTTAAAAAATTTTTAAAAAAATATATAAAATTTTGGAAACTTTTAAAAAATTTAAAAATATTTAAAAAATTTAAAAATTTCTAAAAATTCTAGAAAATTTTAAAAAATTCAAAAGAAAAAACTTAAGGAAACATAATTTTTTTCTCAAAATTTCCAAAATTCTAAAAAAATCCAAAAAAATTAAAAAATAATGAAAAAATTAATAAAATTTAAAATTTTGTTAAAATTAAGAAAACACAAAAACATAAAAAATAAACTAAAATAAAAAAATTTGAAAAAATATAATAATCTTTAAAAATTTTTAAAAAAATTCTAAAATTTTTTCATATTTTTTAATCTTACAATTTCGATTCTTTATATATTTTTCAATTTTTTTTTTGAAAATTTTTAGATTTTATTAAAATTTTAGGTTTTTTTTTATTTTTTTAGATTTTTTTAATTTTAAAAAACGTTTCAAAAATTTGAAATTATTTAAAATTTCAAAAATTTTTAAAAGTTTTGAGATTTTTCTTATTTTCAAATTTTTAAGTTTTGTGATTTTTTTTTTAAATTTAGGAAATTTTAGTTTTTAAAAATTTAATTTTTATGGATTTTTTAAAAAATTTTCAAAATTTTTTAGAAATTTCAAATTATGATAAATTTTATAATTTATAAAAAAGTTTCATACTTTTAATGTTTTATAATTTTTATAAATTTTTTTATAATTTTTCAAAACAATTTTAGAATTTTTTAAATTTGTTGAGAAATTAAAAAAAAATTTCAAATATTTTTTTAAAATTAGAATTTAAAATTTTTTTTCCAGTTTATTATAATTTTTTAAATTAAAAGTTTTTTATAAATTTTAAAATTTTTTAAAAACTTTTTAGATTTTTTTCAAAATTCTAAAAAATGTTTTAGAATTGTTTTGAATTTTATTTTGTTGTGAAAATTGTTTGAAAGTTTTCAAAATTTTTTCAAAAATTTTAAAATTTTTAGAATTTAAATTTTTTTACAATATAGAATTTTTAAAATTTTTTATTAATTTTTATTTTTTATGCTGATTGTCGTTGATGATGTGGTGTTAACTAAACTTTTTTTTATATGTGTCAATATCTTATTGAATGTTGATGACACATCAACAAAATTGACTAATGAGATTAATCTAAAGTACCAACTTGATAATGGAAGTAAGCTTTTAGGTATCAATGTGAAAAAAAAATTTTAAGTACCAATGTGAGAAAAATAATAAAGTATATAGGCAAATATGTACTTAACCCTATAAAAAATCAAGATAAGATGCAAAGGGGAATAAGATAAATGAAATACAAAGAAGCAATGATTTTGAGATAAATAATAGTAAAAGTAAAAATGGCATACCATTTTAGCCTTTCACCTTTTTAGTCTCCACTACATTTTGTTTTCTCCATTACAATGATCAAACTTTTCGAGCATGACTTCCTAAAATTTGACCAATTGAAATGCTTTTTTGGTCGCCCAAGGAAAAAAATTTATAATTTTTTATCTAGCTAGATTTTTAAGAACATCTTATTTGAAATAAGAATCATTCAACATCTATCACAAGGTTTATGTGGGGTCCCTGTGATGAATTTTTTTTGGCACATAATTTACTATGAAGGCTATAGAACTACTAAGACAGCTAATTTTTGGTATTTAAATCTCTTAAGATTTAAATCCTTCTTATTGAAACTAGGAATCTAGTATTTTACCAAATAATCGTATAGTTGTTGGCTACCATGACATATAATTCACTATCAACTTAGCCATTTTATTGAAACAAATTGTGGCGATAGGGATTATAATTGTTGTATAAGCATCTATAATGAGAAAATTGTTGTATTTTGGCTTAATTATGACAATAAAAACAAAAGATGCATAAATGAAAAATAAAGAATAAACTTATCGAGAAGGTATTTCTTAGAAGCTATCTTAAAGATAATAGTCTCTCCAATATTGTACAAATAGACTCTTAGAGACATTATCCCCTATATATAATGCTTAACTAGAAGAAGGATGCTTCATGAACAAAAAAATAGCGTAATGAGAGAATTATGAATTTTGTTCTTTAAAGAATGAAAGTTGCAAGAAAAATAGTGTTTACTGTTGTATTTATAGTACTTAAAGGGAATCTAAAACAACTTTTTCACAAACTGCTATTATTTGAATGAAATAATATAACTTTTTGAATGAAAAAACACTTCTAATGTATTTATTTTTTGATTTTCCAAAAAATATAGAGAGTCATGTCAACATTTTGAATGAAGGTTAAATTGAGTAAAATTTATATAATGAATGTACGATGAATGAATGAATGGATTGATGATATTTTAATTATATACAAATATAGTATTTTATTAAATTAAATTATCAAATAATAATTTCATTAATACAATACACATATAAATATAAACATAAATAAATAATTAAAAATAAAATTATATATAAACTTAGGGTAAAATGGAACACCATAAATCTACATTCAACTCAGCCTTGATTTAAAAAAAAAAACCCTCGATTTTTATTTGTGTAATATTTATCTAATTAAATAAAAAATATAAAAAATATAAAAGGCAAAAAAAAAACAAAATAAGTTGTCATGTGGACGGGTTCATTGATTTTTTTTTTCTTTCAAAAAATTTGATGTAATAAAAAAAGAAAGAAAGAAAGAAATAAAAACTTAAAAAAGGAAAAAGAAAAAGGTAAAAAGTAAAAAAAAAAAATTATTTGTCATATGCCATTCGTAATGATGAGCTGGTTTAGCAAATTTTATATTATGGATTTAAAATAAAAAAAACTAAAGATAACAAGAAACAAAATAGACTGAAAAAATTAAATTTGAATGCCATGTAGACACCTTCATTAATATTCTTTTCTTATAAAATTATCAAATTAAAAAAAATATGAAAAAAATATTTTTTTAATTAATAATATCAAATAGATCTTACAAAAGAAAAAATAAAACAAATATTTATTAAACATAAAAAAGAGAAAAAAATGACATAGAGATCTTGACTTTGAACCAAGCCTTTCTTCCCTTTTCCATAGGTTTTGCTCATCCTGTGCACCCAAAAAAATAAGCTCTACAAAAAAAAAAAAAAGAAACAAGAAATTTTAAAATATAAAAAATGTTAAAAAAATAAAAAGGAAAAGTATGAAAGAAAATAAAAAGTAAAAAAGATGCTTGTCACACTTTGAAAAGGGTCCACGCAAAAAATTTTAAAATATTAAAAATTATCTATTAAATGTAAAAAATAAGAAATAAAAAGTAAATAGAAAAAAAAACTTTTGATTGTCGAATGAGGCCATACAAAAAAAATTTAAATATTAAAAATATATCTATTAGATATAAAAAATAAAAAATAAAAGTAAATAAAAAAATTTTGGATTGACATGTGTAAAGCTAAAATTGCAACATTTATATTTAGGATAGCATAATTGTTAATTATAAAAATTTAAATATAATAAAAAATAATTATTTATAGTTATTTTTATTTTTTATTTAGCTTAAAGGATAAAACCATCATTTTACTTAAAAAGTAGAATGGTTATTTTATAAATTTAGACAATTATCCTCTTCTAATCCCTTTGGACTTACCTCTTATAGTTATATAGGTACATATTAAAATTTAATCATAAAAAGAAAGATAAAATAAATGAATATAAAAAATATGAAATAAAATAAATGATGATATAATATAATAATGGAAATTTAATCTTTTATTTAATAATTTAAAAATCAAATTATTATTTTATATTTATTTGTATTACGTATATCATAGGCATTTTTTTTAAGTTTCTAATCTACCCTTAAATTACTCACCTTTAATTAATTGGTACCAATTTTGTCGATATTGTAAAGGTATTAATCTTTTTTGACACGTAATTGACTATAGAGTCTAATCTGTTTTGGTAGATCAAAATGATCTTTTTAATAAATTCTAAACTTGTTTTACCATTTTATTTAAAAAAATAAAATTTTTGAGTGACTAATCATACCTTAAAAAAAAATTGATGGTAACTTTTCTTATTTTTCACGAAATTAAAACTTTTATATTTAACGATCTAAAAATTGTTATGATAACTTGACGATTCTATCTTTTTTTTATTTAAAATTTTTTTTATCTGACGATCTTAAAATTATTATGATAATATACACATTTAATATCCGAACTTAATTCAAACAAAATAAAAAAATATATTTGAATCGAAAAATGTTATAATTTTGAATCGATTTTTAATTTTTTCAAATTTTTTCTCACCCCTACCCGTAAACTTGAAGTGATCATTAGCTTATTTTCAAAGAAAGCAATTGTTACTTTTTTGGATTAAAGAAAAAAACATACGGAGTGAAAAAAATAAAAGAACATAAATTTTTTATTTTTGTAATTTTTTCATATTTCATAATCTATTTTTTAGATATTTTCAAAATGTAATATTTTAAAATTATATTTAACAATAAAATAATTTTATTTACTAATTTATGCTTTTAAAAATAAATTATTAAGGCTGGTTATGGAAAATATTTTTATTTTTATTTTTATTTTTTATTTTCAAATTTTTGAAAAATATGTTGGGCACACAAAAATAAAAAAATATTTTCAAAAATGAAAATTATGAAAATTAGTTTAAATTATCACACAAAATTTAAAATTTATTTTCATTTTCCATTTGAACCCTTGATTAGGTTCACCATGGCTTGTTGGTTTGGCAGGAGGAACCCTTCCTTTCGTCAAACCTGAACTCGACGTCCCTTTCTTGAGGACGGACATTATGGTTTTGGTTTTGCTTGGAGGGTTTTGGTTGGCTTATGCGTCGATTACAAAGCCTTCCAAGAAAGCAGACTATAGCTGAAATAAGAGTGATTACTGCCAGCAATATAAAAACTGTTCCCAAGGATCCATCCAAGTGAGAATGAGATGGGGGCATTTGCCCTGACATAGTATTTGGATAAACGGCGACGGGTTGTTGTGTTTGAGGCTGCTGTGTTTGAGTCAATATTCTTTTGGTTGGTTTTTGGATTAAAAGATGATGAGATGCAATGAAATGGTTTAGGATTTTGTATGACTCTATAGCTTATTATTCTTAGGGTGCAGACAAAGGGGTGCAGACAAAGGGAGCCTTTGGCGTAGAAAGAGTAGAAGGAAAGACAAAACGGCAACGAAAATTCAAAAAAAAATTTTGTCGAGCAAACAATTCGAAACCGGGACATTTGTTGCAAAATTGAAAAAATTTTGCAATTCCGTGTTTTCGACTTCTCAATTTCTGTCAAAACATATTCATTAGAAATGCTAAAAAAAACAAATTTTTTTCTTTAATTTTAACCTATTTTCATTTTTTTAAATAATTTTTGTTTTTCAACTAAACAAAAATTCACTCGTCCTTTATTTTTAGGAAAATGATAATAAAAAAAAATTCATAATCATTATTTTCAGATATATTTTTATAAATCAAACACAAACTAAGATTCTTACAACTGAAAGGTAAGTGTGTAAACTAATTTAATATAATAATTTTCATTGATTAACGATTGAACTCAATTTTTACGAATTAATAAGGAGGGACTAAATCTAAGACTTCATTTACTAAATTATTAAAAAAATTTATTGAATTGAAAAAAATAATATATATATATATTTTAATGTGTTTGATAACACATTTTAAAATTTACTTAAAAAGAAGTCTTCAGCTGCTTAAGAAGATATAAAAACTCCAACCTCGTCCCTTTTCCCTTATTGTAGGGTTCTATTTCTTTTGAAATAAAAAAAAAATATTTAAAAAAATTATTTTAATAAAAAAATATTGAATAAGTAGATTTATACCGACTTATCACTTAACCTAAAAAATATTTAATGAATATTTTCTTTTAAATTTTTTAAACTATTATCTGCTAAAAACATTACTTCTTTATTTGTAATAAAAATAAAAGTAAAATGATAAATAATACATTTTCAAAATTCAATATCTTACTATTTTCAAATAATATATTTATATCCAGCATTTAATTTCCATAAAATATCAAACAATTTTATAATTGAAATTCAATACTATCAAATTTAATATTAAATTTCAATTTATAGATAAGATACAAGAACAACATTGGGGTTCAATGGTACAAATTGAAAAACTTATCTTTGCATTTTACGAAAGAACCAACTCCATACTTGAAAACCAAGTTTAAGCATTGCGCCGCCCAAAGAAATTTCGATTGTAAATTTCATTTGTACGTATTAGGGTACGAGCAAAATTCCTCATTTGCACTTTCAAAGTTAAATTGTAAACTGACTCAATGAGAAAGCTCGAGATTCTCGGCAGGAGTATTATAAAATATACTTTGTGATGATTTCTTTTTTATTTTTTTCTTCGAACAGTTTTTTTCTAAGCTCTAAAGCATAAAATTTTGGGGTTTCTTTTTGGTTGAAGAGGGTCGATTTCAGGTTTGTTCTAGGTTTTTATACTTCAAAGCTTGAAATTTTTGAATCGACTGATTTGAAGATTTTAGATATGGTTCTGAGATTAATTGGAAATTATTGTCTTCTTTTTCTTATTCTTCTCTTTTCTTCGGGTGTTTTCACTTTGTTTCCAGAAAATTCTCACAGTAGCAAAGATTTGAGAAAAAGAGAAAAACGCATGCCAAAAATAGAGAATACAATACAGATTGCTGACACAGGAGAGTCAATTATGAGGTAGCTCTTGTTTTGGCCCAACGCAATGTTTATTCTGTACTCTTTCCATTGTCAATTTTTCCTTTCAAAGTTGTATATTTTATACTTGCTCGTGTTTTGCCGTTTTCTTGTTACACTTGAGCCTGCGAATCATAGGATAGGCAAACCTAGTTCCAGCATGGAAGACAAAAGCATATTTCTCACAAGCAGTGCATTCAAGTGTCACAGTCACAGGTCTTTCAACAATGAACAATCTAGCTCTTATACTGACGATGTTCTCATCAAGGAGGAGGACGACAAGGAGAAGAAACCTAACACTCTAACTGGGCTAATTACCAGGGAGATGAAGGTTACAAGCCAATCTTATGGGAAGGAAAACTTGGAGAAGAAGATTTCAAGCCTACCTATGTCTCACAGCAAGGTATTGGAAATCATCACGTTTGCGAGTTGCTATAAGAACCCCTCTACAAAATTGCAAACTTTTACAAATCTGGTTTGTTTTAGATTACTCCTGTAAGTACAATTATGCCAACTGTTTGGGTTTGCGTTTTTAAGACAGATTTGGAGTGTCTTGAAAGTAATTGATTTGATTTCTGTGTTGTCTTTGGTTGTAACTGTCTTATAGAGAATGCACACCATGGTTGTTGATATGCAATTGTTTGAAATAGAGTCTTGCCAAGAGCTAAAGAGAGACTTAAAAAAGATGAGTAGGCATGAAGAAAACCTTCTGCATTCTAAAGGTATACGAATTTGTTATCTCTTTTTTGTCATAATTCATGTATTTCCAACTTTTTTTTTCATCCATGAACTAACTGAGATTTATCTTTATATTGTTTTAGAAATTTTTGAAGTCAGAAAAGAGAAGGAACACAATGATCAAGGGGTAAGTGGCACTAATCTCTAAATAATTTTGCGGTATTGCTTTAATTTCATAAGTAAGCCAAATGCTGTTTTTTTTTCAAGAAAATATTTGTGTCTTTTTCTTGTAATAAAAAGCAGTGGTGCAAACATCAAAAAATAGGATTTGAAAGGTTTATTATGAACACTTATTGATTAGTGTCAGTTTCCATTGAAGGTATTTTTCGCCACTTCATTTCAATTGAGTAATGACGTCAGTGTGTGGAAGAAAGAGTGAAGCAGATGGCAACAATATTAGCGATGGTAACCACGACAATGGATGTTAAATGGTTGAAGATTTGGAAAGCTTGGCCAAATGTGCAAAAAAGTCTCATATTTATAATGCCCTTCAAGACAGCGTGTTCAAAAGCTTGGCCAAGTTTATTCTAAGTATTTTTGATACGGTACATTCTTTGCTTCTATGAACTTTGCTTTTTTCTTTATGCACAGTTTTATTATTTTAACATTTCTACGCTTAAGAGTTGATTGTCAAGCCTTAAGTGGGAACTGAAAAAAGTTCAATTTGAGGTTTGGTTTGCTTTTTGTTGGTTTTCTTATTAATATACTTATTCTTCTAGAAATTAATATTACTTTTATGGCTCATTTATCTGTCTTAAGGTTTATAAATGCAGTCAAGGTAGGTTTTTTAACATGTAACGGTCTTTCCAATATGAGATTGGCTTGAACTGATGGTAGATCTTTGAAATGTTAAGGGATCTTTGTGTTAGTGAAGAACTAGGTTCTTGAGTAGTCTGCTCCTATGATTTATTCTGGTTTTCTTCTCCTTATTCTCATTTAAATTATTTATAATATGCTTTATTTCGATGGAATTTTCTTTTCTATTTTTAGTGTTCTTTGGCTTCTCTTATGGTTTTAATGCCTTCTTATTTCTGGTTATTAAACAAGTGCAGAATTCTTTGTAGTTCCTTTGCTGTTCTAGGGAGACAATTTGCTTATTTATTATTATTTTTTTTTTGCAGGAAGATCTTGAACGATTCAACTTTTATAATAGGATTGTATCTGAAAACAAAAAATTTTATCGTGAAAAGTTGTTACCTCTACCTCTAGAGGTTTGTGTTTGTAGTCATGTCCTTTGTTATTGATACACACACACACACACACACACGACTAACATGTGAATGCACACATGAAAATACATAGATATGCAGCTCAAAGACACTCAAATAATGCAACTTGCTAATTTGGGGTAGCTCACCATCAATGATGTCCTAGCTAATGATTTTATTTAAATCATGTATGTGACATTATGATTAAAACACTATCCTTTTTTATAGGATTGTGATGACCCTGCGAAACTTATTGCTGAAGGGAAGATAACTCTAGATGGTTTTCCTTTGTTGACGGAGTATGATATGGGATTTCTTATTGAGGTGTGTGTTTTTATTTATCTTTGCTAGAGGATGCTTTTATGGTATCTGCTAATATTGTTGTATGACCATAAAATATTTGTACATATGCAGGAGTACAAGTCAAACTTTATAGCGCACATACGAAAATGGACACCAGCTGTAGTGGTATGTTGTTGTGTTTAATACAACAAGGATCTAGTGCAATTGTTTTGGTCGTCAGTGTTGTGCTACGTGGGTTCTTTATGTTATGATCCACTGTTTTTACATAGTGGTTTCTGGTATATTTCTGTTGTTATTTTCTTTAAATTGTTTGTTCAATGACCCATTGAATTATTTTTTGTTTGTTAAAACAAGATTCCAAGTAACAAGGAAAGCATCCAAATTTATAATTTAGATGCCAAAATATTTAGAATTTGTTGGCAACCTTTTCCAAAAAAATAATTTCTCCTCTGTGGCTGCCAAATGTTAGAATTTATAACTGTTATTGAATCTTTCTTGTTTTGAAGAGTTTTGAGAAACCATCATTTGTATGATTAAATAGGTTAAATTTATTTTCATGACATCCTTGGCGGGGAAAACGCCCAAATACCATTCATGTGCATTCAATCAATCCTTGCTTGTTTTCATATCCAATCGTTCTCATTTTGGTGGGTTGGAATTTTTTAAGGATTATTTTGCATTCTTCTGTTGAGATGTTTATGCCTTGTTCATTTGGTGTTCTATAGGTTGAGTTTATGAATTTTGTGACTGATGAAATTGAAGGCTGTTGCTTCAAGGTAATAAAACATTTGTGATAAGAATTTAAGACATTTATTTTTGTTCTCTTAATCTACTATTTTTTTTGAATTTGTGATAATTTTTCTTCTTGTTTAGAAAGGACGCCACAAACGTTATCTGGAAATGGCCAGAACTGTGATGCTTCAGTTTGCTCCTTTGAAGGTAGGAGATTTTTTGTCGTGTAGATTTTGGTGGTCTTCTAATTTCTCTAGCTGTTAATTATCTGGTTCTGTTTCTTTTGTTTTTTGTTTGGTACAAATTTGACCCCTTTGAGTTGGGCCAGCATGCAAAAAATCTAAATGCATACGTATTTGGTTCCGTTCATTCATTTCCTAATTTGTGTCTACATGCATTTTCGTATGTATATATTGCTAAGAATTATTCTTTAATCTGACTCGGCTCTTACTGCACATGTAGGAGGAGATAAAGATGCATACAATTATGGAGAATGGTTTATCTCCATGTTATTGCATTACAGATGCATTGCGATATGAAGCTTTGTCTGATATTGGTATACTGGATATAAAGAATCATTTAACCTCTGCCGATTTGGAGGATATGCTTGAGGAAGTAGCTTGGAGAACGAACTGTTCAATGCTTTCGCTGTCAGGTGGGAGATACGACAGCGTACGTCTCATATTTTTGTTATTTAATGTGGTCATGAACTTATAATAATGACAACAATTGCTTGCTTTGGTGTATTTGTGGGTATTATATTGCTTATTTTTAATTGTTTTAAAACGTGACTTTTACAGGTGCGCCTTTTATATGTGGGTGTTACTCATGCATTGATGTTTGGGCCTTTTGGTTCATTTGCTGATGAGGTCATTGACTTGGTTAAAATTGCTGAGGCACGGAGAAGATATGAAGGCCACCGATACATCAGCAGGCACCATATCCTCTGGGCAGTTGGTTTGACAGGAGTTAAGGGCTTTGTTGAGAAGCTTATTAATGGTCTAGGATTGCAGAATTTAGTTGAAGAACCTGCAGCATATCCCCCGTACAACATATACATGTCAGCTCGGACAATAGCAAATATTCTTGGTAAGTTTCGTTTATCTTGTTTTTATAATTGTTTTGTTGCATTTCTGTTTGGTTGCTGCTTTGATTAGTGGGCATATAATTTCAGGTGATGAGATTGTCGGAGTTGAGCATTTGGTTGTTGCCATCGCTTTTGAAGTGAATCAGAGAAGCCTAAATGGGAAGGGAGATGTTTCTCCACCTCTTGTTGCAGATGGAAGTGCATGGAATAAGTTCGGAAGCAAGAAATGTGTTCAAGAGTTTTTAAACGGTGACGAAACATTGTTTTGTTCCTTCCCAAATTTCTTCTGCCCTTGTGGTTATGGAAATCTCGGATATAATATGCATGGCATTTTTCACTCTTTGTTGATACATGGTTCCTTTTCTAACATTTGTTTCTTTGCAGCTGTGAAAAGGTATAAAAAGAAAGCTGGTAGAAAGTTGATAAAGTTGCCAACTAAGATTGTACAATGGCGGGCTCCAGAAACGAAGTTATTGGATCAATTAAGAAGGGTGGAGAAGGACATGAAATATGGTTGGCATGAGTTCGCCAGTCTTCGATGTAAGAGTCCATAGATTTTGATACTGTTACTAATATATATCCAACCCATAACTTTTGATCTGCCTCTGAAGGCTCTTATTATTTTACTATTTAAATTTTTTTTGCCAGTATGTTACTATTAACTATTAGTGAATATAAATTTTGTTCTATTATGAAATGAATCTGCCTTGGTTTAACCACTCAAATGAATTTGGTTATATACTAATCAATTTCAATTTGATCAATCTCGCTTCAATACGTGAAACTAAAAGTAATTGATTGATGCATTTGCATCCGTCTTGTTTTAAGCTGTCCTTCCTTTATCATCGTAGCTAATAGGATATAACGAAATTGAAGGCTTTCAAAAAATTTTGAGTGCATTAAGTACATAGAATTTTTTACTGATAATTAGATTTGAAGTTTGGTTTATATTCGATTGTTAAGTTTAATAATTGATTAAACAATCATAATATTTTGACATTAGTTAATTAAATAAAAAAATTACGAACATAATAAATTATGATAGTATTTAGTTTGTTTGTAGTTGAAGTATAAACTAATATAACAATCAATGAAAATTTTATGAATAAATTTTATTTTTTTCGTTTATATATTTTTAATAAATTTTATAAAATATTATAAATAATATTTTAATTCTCGTTTAAGTAAAAATAAATTATATCAATATAACAAATTTCATTTTTATTGAATTAGTTTACATTTCTAATTGAGTAGAAAGAGGAGGCGAGATTGATTTACTTTATTTGTGGGCATGCTTACCGACTTAAGAAAAATATGAAGTGAAAAGAGAATGTTGCGTTGATCTTATGTACCTTTTTTTTTAATCTAGATGTATAACGATTTTTTTTTTTTTTGAATTTCTACTTGGATCAATCATATGGAATTGAGCCTGCAAATTCAAATGGGTTAGACTGAATCAGAAGACTGAAACAGCCCATATATCATTATCGTAATCTATAAATCATTCCAACCATACGCACATTCCAGCCTTCTTAATTAATCGATAATCCTCTCGTATTATTCGCACAACAATGGAAGACAACCGAATCAGTTTTCCATCAGTTTTCTCGCCTTTAAACATCTGCAAAGTGCAAACTGAAAGCATATTTAAGTTAAACTATATATCAACCAAGATTAAAAACTTTCATGAATACCCAAGATCTGCATGACAAAAAGAAATTAGGCAAACCTAGTTCCGTTATGGGAGACAAAAGCAGACTTCCCTCAAGCAGGGCACTCAACGGTCATTGTCACATGTCTCTGAGTAATGAACAACCTACCTCTCACAAGGTTCTCATCAAGGAGGAGGAAAATAAGGAGAAAAACCTAGCTCTCAAATTGGGCCCACGGATATGAAGGTTACAAGCCAACGTTACAAGGAGAAAAACTTGGAGAAGAAGGTTTCAAGCCAAACTATGTCTCACAGCAAGGTATTGGAAATCATCATACCTTTTACAAAATTGCAAACTACGTTACAAGTCTGGTTTGTTTTAGATTACTCCTGTAAATACAATTATGCCAACTGTTTGGCTTTGCGTTAGTAAGACATATTTGGAATGTCTTTGAAAGTAATTAATTGATTTTTGTGTTGTCTTTGGTTGTGAGTTGTGACTGTGTTATAGAGAATGAATACAATGCTTGTTGATATGGCACTGTTTGAAATAGAATCTTGCCAAGAGCTAAAGAGAGACTCAAAAAAGATGAGTAGGCATGAAGAAAACCGGCTGATTATAAAAGTATGTGAATTTGTTATCTCTTTTTTGTCATAATTCATGTATTTCCAACTTATTTTTTCATCCATGAAATCACTAAGATTTTTCTTTTTTATTGTTTTAGAAATTTTTGAAAGTTAGAAAAGAGAAGGAAGACAACAATCAAGGAGTAAGTGGCACTAATTTCTAAATAATCTTGTGGTATTTCTTTAATTTCATAAGCTAGCCAAATGCTACTTTTTTTTTTCAAGAAAATATTTGTCTTATTCTGGTAAGAAAAAGAAGTGGTGCCAACATTAGAAAATAGGATTTGAAAGGTTTATTATAATACCTTATTGATTAGTGTTGGTTTTCATTTGAAGGTATTTTTCGCCACTTCATTTTGGTTGAGTAATGATGTCAATTGTGTGGAAGAAAGGGTGAAGCAGATGGCAATAATATTAGCGGTGGTAACCCTACGACAATGGATGTTAAATGGTTGGAAAGATTTGGAAAGCTTGGCCAAATGTGCAAAAAAGTTTCATATTTATAATGCCCTTCAAGACAGCGTGTTTAAAAGCTTGGCCAAATTTATTCAAAGTATTTTTGATACGGTACATTCTCTACTTATATGAACTTTGCTTTTTTTTTTTAATGCTCAGTTTTATTATTTTAACATTTTTTCGCTTAAGAGTTGATTGCCAAGCCTTAAGTGGGAACTGAAAGAAGTTCAATTTGAGGATCGATTTTTGCTTTTTGTTGATTTTCTTATTAATGTACTTATTCTTCTAGAAATTAATATTACTTTTAAGGCTCCTTTATCTATCTTAAGGTTTATAAATGCAGTCAAAGTAGGTTTTTTAAAATTTAAGGGTCTTGTTAAGGGTCTTTCCAATTGGCTTGAACTGATGGTAGATCTTTAAAATGTTAAGGGATCTTTGTGTTAGTTAAGAACTAGGTTCTTGAGTAGTCTGCTCCTATGACTTATTCTGGTTTTCTTCTCCTCATTCTCATTTAAATTATTTATAATATGCTTTATTTTGATGGAATTTTCTTCTCTATTTTTAGTGTTCTTTTGCTTCTTTTATGGTTTTAATGCCTTCTTATTTCTGGTTATTAAACAAGTGCAGAATTCTTTGTAGTTCCTTTGCAGTTCTAGGGAGACAATTTGCTTATTCTTTTTTTTTTTTTTTCTATTTTCAGGAAGATCTTGAACGACTCAACTTTTATGATAGGATCGTATCTGAAAACAAAATTTTTTATCATGAAAAGTTGTTACCTCTACCTCCAAAGGTTTGTGTTTGTAGTAATGGTCCTTTGTTATTTATATATATATATATATATATATATATATATATATACACACACGGACAAACACATGAATGCACATATGAAAGTACATAGATATGCAGCTCAAAAACACTCAAATAATGCAACTTGCTAATTTGGGGTAGCTCACCATCAATAATGTCCTAGCTACTGATTTTATTTAAATTGTGTATGTGACATGATGATTAAAACACTATGCTTTTTTATAGGATTGTGATGACCCTGTGAAACTTATCGCTGAAGGGAAGATAACTCTAGATGGTTTTCCTTTGTTGACGGAGTATGATATGGGATTTCTTATTCAGGCGTGTCTGTTTTTATTTATATTTGATAGAGGATGGTTTTATGATATCTGCTAATTGTGTTGTATGACCATAAAATATTTGTTCATATGCAGGAGTACTATTCAGACTTTATAGTGCGCATATGAAAATGGACACCAGCTGTAGTGGTATGTTGTTGTCTTTAATACAACAAGGATCTAGTGCAATTGTTTTGGTAGTCAGTGTTGTGCTACGTGGGTTCTTTTTGTTTATGATCCACTGTTTTTACATAGTGGTTTCTGGTATATTTTTTTTTGTTATTTTTCTGGTATATTTCTGTTGTTATTTTCTTTAAATTGTATTTGTTCAGTGACGCATTGAATTATTTTTTGTTTGTTAAAACAAGATTCCAAGTAACAAGGAAAGCATCCAAATTTATAATTTAGATGCCAAAATATTTAGAATTTATTAGTAACCTTTTCCAAAAAAATAATTTCTCCTCTCTCGCTGCCAAACATTAGAATTTATAACTGTTATTGAATCTTTCTCATTTTGAAGAGTTTTGAGAAACCATCATTTGTATGATTAAATAGGTTAAATTTATTTTCATGGCATCCTTGGCGAGGAAAATGATCAAATACTACATGTGCATTCAATCAATCCTTGCTTGTTTTCATATCTAACCGTTCTCATTTTAATGGGTTGGAATTTTTAAAGGATTGTTTTGTATTTCATCTGTTGGGATGATTATGCCTTGTTCAGTTGGTGTTCTATAGGTTGAGTTTATGAATTTTGTGACTGATGAAATTGAGGGCTGTTGCTTCGAGGTAATAATATATTTATGATGAGAATTTAAGACATTTATTTTTGTTCTCTTAATCTATTTTTTTTTTTTTTTTGAATTTGTGATAATTTTTCTTATTGTTTAGAAAGGACGTCACAAACGTTATGTGGAAATGGTCAGAACTATGATGTGTCAGTTTGCTCCTTTGAAGGTAGGAGATTTTTTGTTCTCCTTCATCTTAACATCTAGGGTTTTCACTAAGTCATGTAGATTTTGGTGGTCTTTTGATTTCTATAGCTGTTAATTATCTGGTTCTATTGCATTTGTTTTCTGTTTGGTACATATTTGACCCATTTGAGTGGTCCATCATGCAAAAAATCTATATGCAGACGTGTTTGGTTCCATTTTCATTTCTTAATTTGTGTCTACATGCATTTTCATATGTATCTATTGTTAAGAATTATTTGTTAATCTGACTCGACTCTTACTGGACATGTAGGAGGAGATAAAGATGCATGTAATTATGGAGAATGGTTTATCTCCATGTTATTGCATTACAGATGCATTGCGTTATGAAACTTTGTGGGATATTGGCGTACTGGATATAAAGAAGCATTTAACCTCTGCCGATTTGGAGGATATACTTGAGAAAGTAGCTTGGAGAACAAACTGTTCAATGCTTTCAGGCGGGAGATATGACAGCGTACGTCTCATATGTTTGTTGTTTAAAGTGGTCATAAACTTATAATAATGATAATAATTGCATGCGTTGGTGTATTTGTGGGTATTATATTGCTTATGTTTAAATTATTTTAACACTTGACTTTTTACAGATGCGACTTTTTTCTTGGGCTGTTGCTCATGTCTTAGAGTATGGGCCTTTTGGTTCATTTACTGATGAGGTCATCAACTTGATTAAAATTGCTGAGGCACGGAGAAGATATAAGGCTACCGATACATCAGCAGGCACCATATCCTTTGGGTAGTTGGTTTGACAGGAGTTAAGGGCTTTGTTGAGAAGCTTATTCTGGTATAGGATTGCAGAATTTAGTTGAAGAACCTGCCGCATATCCCCATACAACTTGTACATGTCAACTCGGACTATAGCAAATATTATTGGTAATTTTGCTTTATTTTGCTTTTTGAACTTGTTATGTATCATTTCTGCTTGGTTGCTGCTGATTAGTAGACATATAATTTCAGGTGATGAGATTGTTGGAGTTGAGCAATTGATTGTTGCCATTGCTTTTGAAGTGAATCAGAGAAGGCTGGA